GACTACAACATCACTGGTTGGCTTGAGAAGAACAAGGACCCCCTGAATGAAACTGTCATTGGGTTGTACCAGAAGTCATCTGTGAAGACACTGGCCTTACTGTTTGCCACCTACGGTGGAGCAGATGCAGGTCAGTTCTGTAAATTCTATCCTTTCATAAACATTCAAAGTTAATTGGAGCAGGGAACACTAAATGTTTAATGTCTCCAATATGCAGAATCCATATTTGGTACTCTTCATTTTTATCATTTGCAGAGGCTGGCGGAGGCAAAAAGGGTGGCAAGAAGAAGGGTTCTTCTTTCCAAACTGTTTCAGCTCTTTTCCGGGTACAGTAATATATTCCTTATCTCTTTGTAACATGGAGAAAGGGTAAAAGCAATATTAAATATTAAGGTGCTACTTTTGAATTACTGTGAAGTTGATAAAATTATTCTCATTACTGTTATTTTCAAGATTAATTTTAATATTGTTAATATGTATTGCTCAAAATCAAGCGTTTATGCTTCAGTTATTAAGAAAAGAGAATCTTATTTTAGTTTGTTTGTTTTGAGAAGATTGTACTATTTTTTTAAGTCTTCGGGTCAGACTTCAGCTGTAATTTTAGCATACCTGCATTTCTATGAGGCTTGTATTATGGTGAATTCAGAGTCTCCTTAGAAACATTTTCCAAGAAGGTATTTAACTTATTTAAAAACAGAATAAAACTGATTTTTACTCAAACAGATTAACTTTAGTAGGTAGAACACAAAAAACTTCATTATTTTGTGTGGAAGTGAGAAACTGTATAATAGTTTCCACTGGATTAACAGCACAATAGCAGTATTTCAGAATTCAATAATGACATTAACTATCTACAAATGGAATAAATGTTTGGGCTTTGTGGCTTTACCGGAGTGTTTGGAAGCATAGCTAATTCTGACAAGTCGCAACAGTCATTCCCATAAGCTTGATGTATCAGACACTAGACAAAACTGACATTACTTACTGATCCCTCTAGGAGAACTTAAACAAGCTGATGACCAACCTGCGGAGCACTCACCCCCATTTTGTCCGCTGCATCATCCCAAATGAAACAAAAACACCTGGTAAGAAGCTTAAGCAAAAAGAGATTTTCCTCTTTAACAACCATTCCCTCTTTGTAGAAAACTGGTATTCATTTATGCAATGAATTGTTAGGTGCCATGGAGCATGAACTGGTGCTGCACCAGCTGCGCTGCAACGGCGTACTGGAGGGGATCAGGATTTGCAGGAAAGGATTCCCCAGCAGAGTCCTCTATGCAGACTTTAAACAGAGGTAAAAGGCTTTCTCTCCTTACTGATTTTAGCTATGCTGAGCACCCTGTACAACTGATTAAACCCACTCTATTTCCTACTCTACGCACTGCACAGAATTTCTTTATTCTTTTCAAAAAAGAGGCTAATCCTACGGACTCGTCTCCATAAATATCAGCTTAAGTATCAGTAGTACTGAGGTTCTGCACACATCTCTTTCATTAGCATGAAAACAGTTCCTATAAAACTATCATTTCTCCTGCAGAACATCAAGGCATTCAGTACAAGCAGTGTTTGCTCGTTGAATACATCCTAATCTGTTTTTGACTGCAGATACAAGGTTCTTAATGCCAGTGCCATCCCCGAGGGACAGTTCATTGATAGCAAGAAAGCTTCTGAGAAACTCCTTTCATCTATTGATGTGGACCACACCCAGTACAAATTTGGTCACACCAAGGTACCAACTCTCCTCAACTCAGTCCCTGTATCTGTGTTTTGTTCTCCCTGACAGTGATGCACTGCAATGTTCTGTTTCTCCAGGTGTTCTTCAAAGCTGGGCTGCTGGGACTCCT